GAGGGTACAGATCTTCCCAAGAAGTAACAAAGATAGGACAGCTAACTTGCCAAACAAATGCTAACAGCTTCTTCCGATGGATTAGCATGCTTACAACATATGAAGAGGCATTCATTGTTACAATTTCCAAATTCAGCACTTACCATTTTCTCAAAACTCTGCTCTTCCTGTTCTTGTTAGTATCAGATAAACTCAGAAAATAATGTTGGCCAATTAATAACAGCTTGCAGTCACAGCAGGATTTATATGTATTGCTGTTCTACATTTATGTCCTTATTACAGTTGATATTAATATTCGCTCCATATTTAATTTTAAATTGCAATTTCAGTTATGTTTGTCTTGATTCAGTTATACTCTATTTGAATTGCAGTGTATCTCATTTTCTGCAGCGCTGCCAGATACTTGATTATTGGATGGTTCCCAAGGATAGAATTTTAATTTAAGATCTTTTGGGTATACAGTATGCATCCCACAACTGTCAATATACACTGTTGTCTATTAGAAGTATGCTATGCTTCACCTGTTTGTTTTGCTGCAGTGCCTTCATGCACAAACTCATCTAGAGATCTAATATTTGACAATGAGTTGACCTAGAACAGCTAAATAGTCACAAAATACTCTTCCATTTACTAATTTGCTAAGAACTGCATACATAGGGTTAATTTTTAGGTGGTAAGACTTTTGGAGTGTGCTTTGACATTTGGTTATTACTTAAATACATCACAATGTGCTAAACTGTTTTCAGTACATGCAATGGCAGCAGAACTTAGATTGAGGCCACCCTGGAAAGAAGGAAAACACAGAAGGCCTTTTAGATCAGAGTTGAACATTGCAAGTTAAAATACTGACTGTTTTCCTCTTAAAACATATATGTCTAGAATTGCAACCACTAGTGCAGTAGATATGTAAACTCATATTTTATTCCACCAGAGTCTATAGTTCAACAGATAAGCATGGTGAACTACCAGTTCTGTGTATCCTAGAAGGTAGAAGGTTAGATTATAATATGACAAAGTATTCCTCTTTATATTCTGCTGTGCTGAACTTGTAAACCACACAGTGGAAATTACCAGTGAGTCCAAATTATCTTGCTTTTCTAATGCATCTCTACAGGCTTCAGAGAGCTACAGAGGTTTTGGTGAAAGGTGGGGGGCGGAGTGGGGAGAACCCTTTAGTGCCCTCACATCATCTATACATGTTGCACAAAAAAGATTAGGGAACAAAATAATTGAAATAAAAATGAAATTTAGTATTGTATGGGAACTCTCCAGTCTATTAGTTACTGGAACTATAAATTGTTCTAACTAAATACAATGTGCATCAGTGATCCATTCATTTATTTTTTTTACTACAAGAAATTTATGTTACTCAAGTGAACTGTGAAGCTTGATACCAATATTTATGAGACTGCTTAAATTCAGATTAAGAAATAATTTGCCATGTTGAGGAATAATAAGCTAGCTTCTCTTACTCACATTTTCACAGAATCTCTCTTCCCTAGGACTAATGTGTATTAGTCTTCACAACCTAATGCACCATATTACAACACTGGTACACAGATTGGCTTATATATTGTAGAATACATGCTCACTTAAACATTTCCAGTTTGATACAAAGAAATAAGAAATTTGCACAATTACTAAGAAGGGGAAAAAAAATCTCATGCTAACAAATCAGAATTCACCACATTAAAAAAAAAGAAACAGAAAAAAAATCATATACACAAACCCAACTTTATCAGTGGTGCTCAGACATTTAACACTAGGAAGGCTGACAACACTCTGGAAAACCAGGGAGGCACTTGTAGAAAACCTAGACAGCTCAATTAAATCTACTGAAATATCATGATTTGTCAGCAGCATTACAGCTTTTTCTTTTATCATAGGAAGTACAGATCAGCAAAAAATATTCAGTGTGCTTCTAAAAGAAAGTGAAATATTTTTCAAACAGTGAATTTAAAAGAACAGTTACCTGCAGAAACAGATTCTCTTTTTTAATTTTACACTGCGCCCTAATCGTTTAAGCTCATGATTAGAAATTCTTAAGTACAAAAGTTAAACAGTCTGATTTTTTTTTTCATATCTAGACTAATGCTTGAGACCTTGGGAAGCTGCCATAAAAAACTAAAAATATTCTGTAGCCAATAACTACTATAGATATGAAAGATTATTCATACACTCTAGAGCTTGAAACTACAAAATCCCCAGCAAATTTTACAAGATTGAAGGCAAGTAGTCATTAAATCTTCATTTCACTCACACCCCTGTAAAATATAAACAATATAGAACCCTCCAATATGAGACTAGCCATATGGTTTGCTGGCATCTCATTCTTCACTGATGAAATGTAAGAAAGGTAAGGCTGTACTCCTTTAAAAAAATTCTAAAAATGTGTAACTATATAATTTGGATTATTATAGCTTAGATACATTTGTTTTTCATTAAAATAACCTTTAACTATGCTTTTTAAAATAAGAATTTACAGCAACAGGGACTCTCATAATTATGACATACTCTTCATTTGCCTCATTAAAATATTGGATGAGTAACTCCCCCATGTTCTGGGGAATGGGAGAAAATAGATCATTTTCTGAGTTAAGAAACACTAAGATTCCTTTAGAATAAAGCCCAGTTTTTTTCTCCCCATCACACTTGTTGGTTTGCCACGTATTTCTACATGCTATAGCACAATTGCAAGGAAGGAGATCTCTGTACCGTAGCATTACCAACAGCAGTGTTCTGTATATAACACAACTGGATGAAGTAAAATTTCTTGTGCAAACTACAATGCTAAAAATAGCAACTCATTTTTTTCTAGTAGCCATACCCAACAGACAGGATTTCATTTTCTTTCACTTGATCATATCCTCTAAGATCTCCTGTAGCTTTTCTTGCCTAATCTTTAAGAACCATCACATAGGCACCGCTCTCAATTGTTAGCTTTTTGCTGGGACAGCATGACAGTTCTACAAAAGCAGTTTTAAGACCTAGTGAAAATACAAAAGAAAGCAGGAAGGAAAAAAGATAATTATATATATATATAATTATAATTATATATAATTGGAATTTCTATTCCATCTGTGCAGCAGACAGCATAGGCTCTGCTGAATCAGGTGGATGACATAGAGGACACCAAGTAAAGCACTGAGGATTTAACTTGTATGAGCCATGTATGAAAGCTTTTCTATCTGAAGTTGCTTGAAATAAATCAAGCTAGGAAATAGATACAACATATGAAAACTTCACCAGAACAGTGTTGGTTTGGTTTTATTTTTTATTTTTTCCTCATTCAAATCCCATCTGGTCTCTGTATATGTGTAAGAGGAATAAAGGACAGGGATTTAATTTCTAAGTGCCTGCTTCTAACCCAGCTCTATTCAAACTGTACATTCAAAGGCTTGCCTCCTTGGGTTCATGATTCTCCATACTGCTATTTAAATTATAAATCACCTATTCAGCAGAGCACAGAATATACCCCACTGCAACACTTTGAAGTTCCATATTTCACCAGCACATGGTCTGAGAAGCAAAAGAAGCTGAACTGATCTCTTCCTAGTTACTTGGGTCAGGAAAAAAACACCAACAAAACTTATGCCTTTGGCATGCCACCTCTTGGCTCTGTTGTTTGTAACCATCTTCTTTCAGGCCTGGAAAATATGAAAACCTTGCAAATCACTTCTCACAATGGACATAATTGTCCTACTGTATATGACCACCGATCAAGTAATGGAATTTCCTCCATACAAAACAACCACCGCAGGTCCAGTATTTTCGTTAACTTCTTTTACCAATAACTGTATAGCTTATAACTCTGCCAGATGCAACATTTCAGACAGAAAGTCTTTTTGAAAGGTAACAACTCTGCTTTGATTTCATGGGAACGATTAAGTCTTAAGAGGCCACTGAAGATGAAGAGAGCAAATCACATAAGGCAGCTTTTATGCTCTCTATTTCTTCACAAATTACAGTCCAGGCTAGGATTTTTGAGGATGACTGATGCAAGGCTTTCTCTCACATAAAAGAAATTCTTAACCTAACTAATATTTTGAATAATATCTATAATTTTGCTGCACTTACACTTTAAAAAATGTGTGACAAAATGACCTGCCACTTGAAAAGAAGGCCATGGGAGGACATGAGGAAGAGAAAACTAATAGTCTGCGTACATTCCAATCATCTTTTAAAAAGTCCATCAGCTACAAGTACATGGGCTTTTCCACTTAAAAAAAAACTGACTACCTTTAGAAATTACCGAATTCCCAGAAAGACAGACGTAAGAGAGTAAATCAGGCCAGAAGCCTTTTAGAAAAATTTCTTTTCAGACTAAGCAAAAGCTGAAGGACTGCACAAATTACATTTTACCTGAGTTACAGAGTGATAATCAAGAGAAGAGGTTCATTTTCTATGTGTAACATCTGATTGCTAAGGACAGAGACCACCATGTTCCCCAGGCTCAGGTGAAATGTGCCTGACTATTTAAGGTCATTACATCTGGCAACTCCAGAAGATGCAGAATGGGAAGTTGTCTGTTATACATTCTGAGGTCTGATTTGCTCTGTCTCAGGACGCTGCTGGCCTTTCTGGATTGTGTGGGGAAACTTTCAGAATGAAGAGAGGAAACATCAAAAGAAAGTCCTCAGTGCATGCAGTGGTATTTGGCAGATGTCAAATAAACCCTACTTTTTTCAAATAAAATTAAAAACCAGACACCCACAATGATGCAAATGTGATCCACAGACTGGAGACCCAAATGCACCATATACTCCCTCTGGCTCAAGAGGTTTTGAAAGCCTGTAGCAGTCTCCGATTGGCAGTAGTGCGAAGTTTGACATTAACATGAAGAGGCCAAGGCTACAGTCATGGTTAATGACAACAATCTTAATGACCTTTAAACTTCCTGTTGCTACTGATACTTAGTTACCAAGTGTTACCTAAACATAAACTTCTGTTAAGCTAATCAGTATGCAAAATACAAAAAGTCGCTCTTATTTCTTCCTCAGGACTACACCCTGACTATGTACTTCCAGCAGTCCTGGAGGGATAAAAGACTCTCTTACTCTGGAATACCTTTGAACCTAACTCTGGACAACAGAGTGGCTGACCAGCTCTGGGTGCCGGACACGTATTTCCAAAACGACAAGAAGTCATTTGTCCATGGGGTGACGGTGAAAAACCGAATGATTCGACTCCATCCAGATGGAACAGTCCTTTATGGCCTACGGTACGTTGGGTTTTTTAACCAGCTATGTGGCTGTCCTGGCAGAATGCAAGTTGTTGTTGGTAAGTGCAGGTAGTACCAATGCTGCTCTCTTCTCCTTTTTCCTGGTTTCTGAGTGCAGCTTAATGAGTTGGCACATAGTCTATCCAGACTTCCACAACACACTCAAGAATTTTCCTCAGGGCATCAAAACTACCTTTGGCAACTAGCAAAGCCCAATGCTCTGTCTCTTTCAGTTCTTTTGAGCATGTTAACACTACTGATGAGTTCTTTGTTTTGGTTCTTACCTAGTAATTGATCACAGCCTAGAGAAACATTCCTTCCTTCTGAATTTCTACAGCAGTTCTTTAGAACAATGTAAAATGTAAAACTGGGAGTCATCTGAAGAAATGTGACCAACATTTGGTAGGGAGTAAAAAGAAGGCATTTGTAAGTTTACATGAATTATTTAAAGTTTATCTATATGCCTCGGTACAGGTTCTTTAATCTGCCTTGGTTTATCACTGCCTCTTCATGCCACAACTGCTTCTTCATACAGTGCAACCTATATTCACCCGTGTAGATAAAAATATATTCTAAAATCTGAACAGGCACAATCTAATGATAAGGTCCAGAAATGTAAAATTAAAACTAAACCAATTTATTTGTTATGTTGAGATTGCTGCCGAGCTTTGCATTATTTTTTAAAAAGTTAAGGTAGTTTTGCTTAGGGAAAAAAAGAAAAAAAGTCATAAAAACCCAACTGCCTGAAACAACCTTTGATCACTGTCAACAATGAAAATAATGTGCAGAGAACATAAACCTGAATGCAAACTTCAGTTAAACAGAAGAAAGAAAAAGTAATAAAGCAGAAAACCTAACTGAAATACTCCAAAATCACACCTAAGATAGGGTTGGAAAAAAACCAAACTGCTGCAGCAGTTCAAAAGGAAAATAAAGTTTGGAGAAAGATAACTCGGAGCTTGCTGAAAATAGAACTTTGAAATGACCTCTTGGCCTATAAAAATATAACCTTTATAACACAACACTATCCATGCACTCAAAGCCTTCCAACCCATAAATTCAAGCTTGACAAGACAGAAAAAATAATATAAAAATTATTATTTTGGTTCATCATGCTTTCCTTTGAACTTGTTAGATTCACTGGTAGTGCATCAATTGCCACCAGTGATCACACAGGCATTTTGATAGAGCCAGATATGTACTGGTGCAGAAAACCGGCTACTTCAGTTGTGAAAAATAAAACTAAGAACCCATGAGGAAATAGCTGATAGACTACAGGTTGTCATTATCATCTGCTAGAAAGAGCATTTGAAAAATACGTCTTTCCCGTTGCCTTCAGACCTCCTACAGTTCCTTTCAATCAAACTGACTCCTGAAAATCAACTTCACAGAGCAGTTATCATTAGAGGATTTTGGGGCATGAAAAGTTTTAGAACTTAAAAAAAAATTTATTTTTTTATTTTTTCTTGATGCCAGGAACAAAATTTATTTACATTCCAGGATTTGCATAGTGGCAACAATGTGCATTAGAGCCAAGTAGTGCAACACAATCAGTTGTAAACAATATAAACTACATCTAGAAATGTACATTACACAACTGCTTCCACACACATGCCATACATCTGTTATTAATAATGGTCTTTGAAAAAATAGCAAAAGAAGCTGGGACACACCTGGTGAATCTGCTGCAGGTCCTCTCATGTGCTTCATCAACAAAGCACCAGCCTGCCTGGGAAGCTGTGACCTTGCCCAAGTATAATGCCTTTGCTCTTCCTCTCAGAGGTGGTCAGGCAAACCTCCAATGCAACAGAAAAGATGATCATCTTCACATAACGAGGTTGCTAGTTCATATGATTAAATAACCTTTCACACTTGAATTGGATAAGCAGCAGCCATGCAACTGCAACAGCTGCAGCTCTTCAACTTAATACCCCATCCAATACCTCGCTGCTTTCAGTAGGAAAACCAAACAAAACCAAAACCCAAACAAAAAAAAACCCACACTAAAATAAAGTGCAATCTATATTCCACACACTTGGAGTCTAGTACTGCAGTGGCGAAGCTAACAAACAAGCAGAAGAAAGAATGAATGTAAGGGGCACCGAAGCAGGTTTCATACAGCAGACCACAATTATTGCACTAAGTCTGCATCTATCAGTGGTCACTTTCCTCACAGTAATAAATGTGTTTCTGTCACCTTACACATTACCTTTAGATCATACAAACAGCAATTTCTTCATATACCAGATACCACATACAGCTTATAAGAAATAAAACATGAGAAAACAGTGCAGAAAATGTTCTCAGGTAAAATTCTGCATTGCCTGTTAGAAATTTTACAACGGCTCCAATCTTAGTCTAAAAAGTAGAGAAGAAACTGAAACAGATCAACTTGTGTTTAGCCACTATGCAGCAGAGAGCATGGAAACAGCATCACCAAACATCTCTTTTTTGCTTTTAGTACTGAAGACAGAGCATTGACCTGGCACTACTTGAACAAGACAGACAACACCAATTATGCTGCAGAACAGTATGTGAGTTCCTAGCAAAATAGGCAGGGCCTTAAACCATCTCTCAAGGATGATTTAAATGCTTGCTTTCCCCAATGCCTCTAATTCCCCACACATTTTTCTATTTTCATTCCAGACTTAATGCTTCCTTTCAGGCTCAGATATGAAATTTTACTGACGTCTTTAAACACAAATTGAAACAATCATAGCAGTTCTAAATAACCTACTTTGTTTGTATCCATGTACTCGGCAGTTTAGCATTAATGCAATGTTCAGTCTCAGAACTGAAGAAAAACAAACCAAGGTTAATCTTCTGGCTTTACAGATGAATAAACAAGGGAAACTTGCACTGAATATGGTGGACTGGTTTTAGATCATATAACAAAGCATTATCACACTTCAGAATGTCTCCGTCCTAATATTTCTGTGATGAAATAACCAGTCCCTTTAGCTATTTTTTTCCCGTAACTTTCAGCTGCTGTATCCACACAGTGTAAAGAATGACGTGTGCATAAACTTGTGCAGACACAGAATACTCCATACCTTCTGGCTTCTAAAATAGTGCATTGCTGTCATGTCTTACTGAAAATGCTACTTCTCTTAATTATTCACAGTAGTGAATAATGCATAGCATTACTAAATAACTCTTTCATGCTGTTGCCCAAGCAACTAAACACACAAACATGTTTAACTCCACATTAATATTTCCACTGAACTCCATTTCAAATATGCCAGAAAAGTTGAGTGACACTGTTAAGTCTTACGACTTGTCGTGGTATAACCCCAGCTGGCAACTGAGTCCTACTCAGCCACTGACTCGCACATCCATCCAGTGGGATGGGGCAGAGAACTTGTAGGGTAAATGTGAGAAAACTCCTGGTTTGAGATAAAGACAGTTTAATAGAGAAAGCAAAAGATGTGCATGCAAGCAAAGCAAAACAAGGAATTCATTCACCACTCCCCATCAGCCATTTCCAGGAGAGCAGTGCTCCATCACATGTAACAGTTGGGAAGGCAAATGCCATCTCCAGATGTCCTCTTCTACTTTCTTCTTCCCCCCAGTCTTATATGCTGAGCATGGTGCTCTATGGTATGGAATATTCCTGTGGTAATTGGGGTCAGCTGTGCTGGCTGTGCTCCCTTCCAGCTTCTTGTGCACCTCCTACCTCACTGGCACAGCATGAGAAACTACAAAGTCCTTGACTTCGAGTAAGCTCTGCGTAGCAACAAATAAAACATCAGTGTGTTACCAACATTATTCTCAGAATAAAGCTAAAACACAGCACTGTACCAACTACTAGGGGAGAAAACTAACTACCCCAGCCAAAACCAGGAGAGCTATTATATTTTTCTGTGGTGTAGCCACCTGCTTCCTAAGAGAAAAAAAATCCCTTCAAGTCAATATGCAAACCTGCAGCACTGTAAGGCTGGTGTCTGAGATAGCTCTAGCTTGGTCCCAGTACAGCTGGCAGAAAACTGTATTCTTCGTTATTCTTCCCCCCATTTTTAATAAGTCATCAGATCCCATTAGCTATAACCCTTTTGGCACTAGCAGTGTGTCTAATGCCTCATTACTTTCATTGCTTTTTCAGGTGAGATTCTCTAGAAATATCTCCCAAAGATCTAGATTATCAAACCAACACATGTTGCTCTTTCTTTTGCTTGTCTTTTGTCCCTCTTTCCCAGGTAAGATGCTAGACATGTAATTTGTCTTTAAGATATTTAAGGAAAATTTAATAATTTATCATACTGAATTACATATTAAAATTCTTATGTCATGATGTCGAGAATGGAAGTTCTGATTTAAATCATCCTTTCCTAGTATTTTTCTGCTGTGTCTTAATTCTTCTGAGCATTTCATTAGCAGAGCAATAACAACTTGTTGCTTCTTAAGTGTCTGTTCTGTTTATTTTGAGGCAATCTCATGATAATATCAGCAGAAGTTCATCTGGTGTTGGTAAAAGAAGCAGATCCTTCAAAAGGATTAGTTGTTAAGAAGTGCAACATGCCTTCAGTGATACCTTTACGTAGATTTCCCTCCTTTCCAGTGTTCACACACAAACCCATCTTTCATCAGAGCAGGTATTCATTTATTTAAAAGCAAGGAGTAATATCATGACAAGGAGTGAAGATCTGGTTTGGAGCATGGAAAATTTGGTTTTAGCAAGATCACACATTTTTAGACCCCTGCAGCAGAGGATGCCACTTTGCTGGGCCCTGCAAGGGGACACGGGGAAGAATGATCTTTGCCTTCAACATAAGGACTTATTTCACCACTTACATAAAGAAGGTATTCTGTGGCATATATTGTCAGACAACATTGTCAGACACATCCATCTACCTCAAACCATTTCAAAAACATGAATTGAGGCATGCAACATTTGATTTACTAAATACTTATTCATATGATATCCATGGGAGCCATTCTAGCATACCCTTAAAGGGGAATACAAGAAAAGCTATATTTAAATGCAGAATGCTTTGGTTTTA